GTTACACAGTACGAGTTCAGAGCTATTAAATGCCATTTTCTCATGCTTTTCAGGTCTGGACCCCGCGGGCCCCAGCTTTGAGAATGCTGACAATCTGAGGCGTCTGTCACCCGATGATGCCACCTTTGTGGACGTCCTGCACACAAACACCAGAGGCTCGCCGGACCTCAGCATCGGCATCCAGAGACCTGTGGGTCACGTGGACATTTACCCCAACGGCGGCACCTTCCAGCCGGGCTGCAGCATTCAGCACACCATGAAGCTCATCGCCACCTACGGCATATACAGTACATCCCATTACTGCATTCTAGTATTATTGTTATACTGTTATAGTATTTAGTCATATTTAGAATTTATTATTTATTTTCAGTTAATTTATTTAAGTTTCAGTTATTTTAGTACTTATTTTAGCTATTGATTTTAGTACTTATTTAGTTATTATTTTTAATCAATTTTTTAAAAATGTGCTTTTGTAATTTTTATTAGTTTTTAATAGATTTTATTTTTATTTTTATTTTTGTATTAATCTAATACTTTTTCAACTAATATATATATATATCTATATCTATATATATTTTATTTTATTTATATATTTTTTTTATGTTTATTTCAATTACCAAAATTATTTTTTTATAGTTTTGGTTAACAATAACAATGCTGTTAAAAGTAAAATGCTACATCTATTAAAATATATTCTGTGCTTTTGTAATTTTTTTTAGTAATATCATTACTTTATATATTTCTCTTTTGCCTTAATTTTATAATAATTTCAGTGTTAGTAATTTAATTAACTTAAATATTTAGATTTAATTAACTTAAAGACTTGAATTTATTTCAGTTAGTTTGCCATGGCAACATTTCAAATTTTTATTTATGTTTTTTCACACAATATTTATATTTTATTTCAGCTTTATTTAAATTACCAAAATTATTTTAATAATTATAATTCACAATAACAGCACTAATAGTAAAATGCAATTTTGTTATGTGTTTTTGTCATTTGAATTAGTTTTTGTTGTTAATATTTAGCTTTAATAGTTATTTCCGCTTTAGTAAATTTAGTATTTCAACATGACAACTCTCGGAGGGATTGGCATGGTAATGTACATGATAATGTTAATGTATTTGATCTTGGCGGAATAGATCTGCTATGATGCTGCTGCTGCAGCAGAGCAAGTACTGAGACTTGCTGCCAATACATCCGCAACATGCTGCTGTGAGCATGTAAGAAATACTGCTGCTGCACATATAACACATATGAATAACCCCCATATAGCATACATGAATCACCCTGTAGCAGATCTATACAGGTGGAGCTGGGGAAGGTGGAGGGTTTCTGAAGTGCGCTGCAAACTGCTACAGCAAACAAAAGCCAGGTATTTGAATATTGAGCAGTAAGCTCATTGGCTACCGATACAGGAGAGAACCAATCAGCTGCCATGTGACAAAGATGTCGCCATGTCAGATTGCGCTAGACCTATCGGACTGCGCCATCTAGAGTTTCATGCCAGACCTCTGTATTTCAGTATAGTTGCCAAGGCAACATATGCATGTTTTTTTAAGTTAAAGCTTTTCACCTAATATTTATATTTCAGCATTGTTTCAAATACTGAAGATGATTTTTATTATCTGTTATTGTCTATTATCAATTAAAGTCAAGTCCTAAGTACGACAGTAAGTCATAAACCTTCAGCCTGTGTTTTTGTCCCTTTGACCTCTGTCAGACATGGACCAGATCGTCAAATGCTCGCACGAGCGCTCCATTCACCTGTTCATCGACTCGCTGGTGAACCGGGCGTACCAGAGCTGGGCGTATCGCTGCAGCTCCAGAGATGCCTTCAACAAGGGCCTGTGTCTGAGCTGCCGCAAGAACCGCTGCAACAAACTCGGCTACGGCGTCAACAAGATCCGCAGTGCCAGGAGCGCCAAGATGTACCTCAAGACCCGCGACATGATGCCGTTTAAGGGTGAGAACGCCCAGAACGCTCAGAAAATGTACTACAAATCTACATCTAGTTTGTACTTTTGTGAGTTTTCATATTTGTCTCTCTCGTTCTCTCGCAGTGTTTCATTACCAGATTAAGCTGCATCTGTTCAGCGACAAAAACATGACTTTGCTGGAGCAGCCGATGAAAGTGTCTCTGTTCGGCACGGCCGATGAGAGGGACGACATCGCTGTCACTGTGTGAGTCCCCTTATTTTAACCCTGGACTAGTTCACTGATGTTTTTATTTAAGATTTTCTGTTTTTTAAGGAATTTTATGGTACTAAATTATATTTATGGAATGGTTATAAACCACTCTTTGAGTGTAGACCTGAAAATGAAATTTCTAACTTAAACTGCTGTGAATTTGGAATGCTTTGTGACACAGACATAAGTTTATAGAAAGAACAAAAAAGTTACTAGAAGTTTAAGGTTATTATTACGAAAATGCTAATTTTTTTATATGAAATATACATTTAGCAAAACGTGTTATACTCTAAAACTGCTTGAAAAACAAAGCAGCAAGTTTGGTTCCAAATTCGATTCTGATATTTTTTAAATGTTTTTTAAACAAGTCTCTTCTGCTCACCAAGGCTGCGTTTCTTTGATTAAAAATACAGTAAAAACCTGTAATATTGTGAAATATTTTTACTATTTAAAACAACTGTTTACAATGTGAATATGTTGTAAAATGCAATTTTTTTGCTGTGACTAAAGCTGAATTTTCAGCATCATTACTCCAGTCTTCAGTGTCACATGATCCTTCAGAAATCATTCTAATATGCTGATCTGCTTCACAAGAAAAGGGTTAAAACGTTTTAAAATTTTACTAATTCAGTGGCCCTAGAAAGACACTTACATCACACTTCAAAATTTCTGAATGTTATCAGATACAAAATACCACAGCAGTTTTAAAGAAAGTTACATGACTGGTAAACAGGGACGGTAAATCATAAACCATGTCTTGTGTTTTTGACGCAGGCCCAGCATGAGCACCAACAGCACCGTCTCGTTCCTGCTGACGTCTGACAAAGACATCGGTGAGCTGCTGATGCTGAGCTTACACTGGGAGAAAGACTCATATCTCTACGGCTTCTTCAGCACCAATCAGTTCATGATCCGCAAAATGAGGATCAAATCTGGAGAAACACAGTCCAGGTGAGTCATTTCAGATCATAGAACCATTACTGCAGATCCATAGCTGCTATTAGCGAATTAAAGTCATAACTGCATAAATGCACATATACAGTTTGGGGTCAGTTTATTCAGCAAGGATGCATAAAAGGATCAAAAGTGACAGTAAAGATGGTTATTATGTTACAAAAGACTTCTATTTCAAATAAATGCTGTTCTTTTGAACTTTCTATTCATCTGTGAATCCTGAAAAATAAAATTGATCACAGTTTTGCAAAAATATTGGGCAGCACAAGTGTTTTCAACATTGAAAATAATTAGAAATGTTTCTTGAGCAGCATATTAGAATGATTTCTGAAGGATCATGCATGTGGCACTGAAGACTGGAGTAATGATGCTGAAAATGCAGCTGCGCATCACAGAAATAAATTACATTTTAACATATTTTCACATAGAAAACAGCTATTTTAAATTGTAATAATATTTCACAATTTTACAGATTGTACTGTTTTTTTTTTGCTGAAATAAATGCAGCTTTGACGAGCAGAAGAGACTCTATCAAAAACATTAAGAAATCTTACTGTCCCCAAACTTTTGAATAGTAGTGTATTTTACAAAAATTATTTATGTTGCACAACATTTAAGTTGAAATGAGCCATAACAGAAAATGTTTCATATCTCATTTAATATGTTTGATGTGAATATCCTGATATATAGGATTTTACTATTGTATTATCACCACCATAAATGGTTATATTTCACACACAGTATTACTGATTTTACAGTATTTTGAATCGAATCAAATGCTGCCTTGGTGTGCAGAAGAGACTACTTTTAAAAACATTAAAAAGTTGCACTGTACAAACATCAGACTGTACAACATACGGATTACTATAGTGAAAATAACACCAAAATGATTCATGTAAAATAAACATTTTCTTTTCTTTTGAAGGCTAATGTTCAGACCCAAAGATGGAGAATTTGGTTCACTGGTTCAGGGTGGAGACGCTGTGGTGTTTGTGAAGTCCAGCGAGACGCCGCAGAGCAGGAGAGAGCAGAGGTGAAGACGGCTTCACTTTCACTGACTGTTAAGTCCAATATGAGGTCGTTTTCATATTCATATATTTCATATACAAAACTCTCTCTTTCTGTTTCTGGATTTTCAGGCAGCACAGACTGAAACATCACGGGAGCTTCTTCAAACAGAGCATCAACGAAGCAACCGCAGACATGAGTAAATATGATCAATCAACAGAGATCATGACAGAAACCACCGCGCAGGTCAACACTACAAACGCTTTGTGATTTCATTAATGCCATCTGCACCGGATATACTGTATCTGAACATTTTCATTCGATGTGAAGTTGGGCTTGTGAATTTCACAAACTTCCAGCCAGTGTTGGGGAAAGTTACTTTTAAAAGTAATGCATTACAATATTGCGCCACTCCATAAAAAAAGTAACTAATTACGTTACTTAGTTACTTTTTATGGAAAGTAATGTTACGTTACTTTTGCATTACTTTTTAAATTTGGACAGGGCTTGCTTGTTTGTTTTTAAATTTAAAAAGTTCTATTTTTGGCAAATATAAAAGCCTTTTCACACCAAAAGTGAAATGAATAAGCCTCAGGCTGAAGGAAATGTACATTTACGTCCGTACAGTAGAATGCAGAAGAAGACATTTCAACACACTTCAGCAATAAACAAAGACACACAGATGTTCGTCTAGAGTAATTTTTGCTTATTAGAACGGTTGAACTGAATCAGCGAAGGTCAGAAGCAAAGACATTGCTTAATAGAATGGAATTAAATACATAAAGGATATTTGTGTTGTTTAACATTTAATTATTGCAGGATTTTCAGCATCATTACTCCAGTCTTCAGTGTCACATGATCCTTCAGAAATCATTCTAATATGCTGATCTGCTTCACAAGAAAAGGGTTAAAACGTTTTAAAATTTTACTAATTCAGTGGCCCTAGAAAGACACTTACATCACACTTCAAAATTTCTGAATGTTATCAGATACAAAATACCACAGCAGTTTTAAAGAAAGTTACATGACTGGTAAACAGGGACGGTAAATCATAAACCATGTCTTGTGTTTTTGACGCAGGCCCAGCATGAGCACCAACAGCACCGTCTCGTTCCTGCTGACGTCTGACAAAGACATCGGTGAGCTGCTGATGCTGAGCTTACACTGGGAGAAAGACTCATATCTCTACGGCTTCTTCAGCACCAATCAGTTCATGATCCGCAAAATGAGGATCAAATCTGGAGAAACACAGTCCAGGTGAGTCATTTCAGATCATAGAACCATTACTGCAGATCCATAGCTGCTATTAGCGAATTAAAGTCATAACTGCATAAATGCACATATACAGTTTGGGGTCAGTTTATTCAGCAAGGATGCATAAAAGGATCAAAAGTGACAGTAAAGATGGTTATTATGTTACAAAAGACTTCTATTTCAAATAAATGCTGTTCTTTTGAACTTTCTATTCATCTGTGAATCCTGAAAAATAAAATTGATCACAGTTTTGCAAAAATATTGGGCAGCACAAGTGTTTTCAACATTGAAAATAATTAGAAATGTTTCTTGAGCAGCATATTAGAATGATTTCTGAAGGATCATGCATGTGGCACTGAAGACTGGAGTAATGATGCTGAAAATGCAGCTGCGCATCACAGAAATAAATTACATTTTAACATATTTTCACATAGAAAACAGCTATTTTAAATTGTAATAATATTTCACAATTTTACAGATTGTACTGTATTTTTTTTGCTGAAATAAATGCAGCTTTGACGAGCAGAAGAGACTCTATAAAAAACATTAAGAAATCTTACTGTCCCCAAACTTTTGAATAGTAGTGTATTTTACAAAAATTATTTATGTTGCACAACATTTAAGTTGAAATGAGCCATAACAGAAAATGTTTCATATCTCATTTAATATGTTTGATGTGAATATCCTGATATATAGGATTTTACTATTGTATTATCACCACCATAAATGGTTATATTTCACACACAGTATTACTGATTTTACAGTATTTTGAATCGAATCAAATGCTGCCTTGGTGTGCAGAAGAGACTACTTTTAAAAACATTAAAAAGTTGCACTGTACAAACATCAGACTGTACAACATACGGATTACTATAGTGAAAATAACACCAAAATGATTCATGTAAAATAAACATTTTCTTTTCTTTTGAAGGCTAATGTTCAGACCCAAAGATGGAGAATTTGGTTCACTGGTTCAGGGTGGAGACGCTGTGGTGTTTGTGAAGTCCAGCGAAGAGCAGGAGAGCAGGAGAGAGCAGAGGTGAAGACGGCTTCACTTTCACTGACTGTTAAGTCCAATATGAGGTCGTTTTTATATTTCATTATTTCATATACAAAACTCTCTCTTTCTGTTTCTGGATTTTCAGGCAGCACAGACTGAAACATCACGGGAGCTTCTTCAAACAGAGCATCAACGAAGCAACCGCAGACATGAGTAAATATGATCAATCAACAGAGATCATGACAGAAACCACCGCGCAGGTCAACACTACAAACGCTTTGTGATTTCATTAATGCCATCTGCACCGGATATACTGTATCTGAACATTTTCATTCGATGTGAAGTTGGGCTTGTGAATTTCACAAACTTCCAGCCAGTGTTGGGGAAAGTTACTTTTAAAAGTAATGCATTACAATATTGCGCCACTCCATAAAAAAAGTAACTAATTACGTTACTTAGTTACTTTTTATGGAAAGTAATGTTACGTTACTTTTGCATTACTTTTTAAATTTGGACAGGGCTTGCTTGTTTGTTTTTAAATTTAAAAAGTTCTATTTTTGGCAAATATAAAAGCCTTTTCACACCAAAAGTGAAATGAATAAGCCTCAGGCTGAAGGAAATGTACATTTACGTCCGTACAGTAGAATGCAGAAGAAGACATTTCAACACACTTCAGCAATAAACAAAGACACACAGATGTTCGTCTAGAGTAATTTTTGCTTATTAGAACGGTTGAACTGAATCAGCGAAGGTCAGAAGCAAAGACATTGCTTAATAGTATTTAATAATCATTTTAGAACTAGAAATAATCATTCTCAATGACCAGCACATAAAATTCTTTATACAATAAAATTGAGTTTTGTACACACACACACACAAAAAACTTTATTTGCCTTTTTTTTGTAAATATTGTTTTTAAAAGTATAAGAATGTGGCCAAAAGGAGGTTTTTAGCACTTCTTGGTATAAAATTGTCCCAAAAATATAGTTAAGTTGGTATACACACACACACACTGCACTCATTGTGAACTTTCCCCTATTTTCTCAGTAAACTCATCTGAGGAACAGATTTGTCTGCATTTGAGTTCATTTCGATCATCAGCATGTTTAATATTTGGCACATGCATTTGGACATCATGGAAAGGTTTATTTTAGTTCCTGTTTTCTTAGAAGATCGTGTGTGTGTGTGTGTGTGTGTGTGTGTGCGTGTGTGTGTGTGCGTGTGTGTGTGTTTGCACACAGAGAGCTAAAATAAGCATTCAAGGTAACACACAGCCATCATATCTGAACACACATACTGTACAGCGATGGAAATGTTCACTTGCTAGACATCAAACATCAAATACAGCAGATTTGACTAATGCACCTACTTGGAAATTAAAACATAAATGACAACAGAATCATTTCTCTCGCCTGTCTGCAGAAAGTGCTCAGATTTACCCACATACACACAACAGGCTGCGATCAGAGATCTCCATATGAACGCAAACATTTCTATTTAATGATCTGAGCTGCTCTCCACATTCATTCTTTTCATTTTTAAAATGAGAAACACCTGAAAGAAACGTGAATATTTTGCTCATTTCTCTAATCAGATATAAACTGTCAGTTGTATCTGTTGCATTTTTGCCAGAAGTCATTCAGCTTTTTTCATTATGTTATCAAAAGTGTTCGTCTTTTCAGCTGCATGAGACTGGAGGCACAAGCAGAACGTGTTTGTTTGGCGCTTGCTGATGTTTTACCTGCTTTAGTGTTGAAATGTGAGCACTGCTGTGAACACAACCGCCATGAACCTGAACTATAGCACACACACACACACACACACACACATACATACATACACACATATGAAGAGTTCATAAGCAAAAGCTCTAAGTGCCATCTGAAATTTTCTTCTAAAATGAATGAGCATTTTTCTCGGGCTCTCATGTGTAGGTTCAGTAATTTCACTTTAATGGCAGTGAATAGGTTATTTTATTTGCCATTAAAGTGAAATAACTGAATATAAATATAGGAGCCTGAGAAAAATGCTCATTTTAGAACATTTCAGATGGTACTTGGAGGCTTTGTGTGTTTGTGTGTGTATATATATATATATATATATATATATATATATATATATATATATATATATATATATATAGTATATGTCAGGCTTTACAGGGTTAATAAACCTGCAACAGCTCAAGAGCTGTGTGTAACTTCAGCTCATGTCAGGTGATTGTGACCGGCACACTTTCACAAAACATGTGCAAGAAGGTTCACACTAATGCAAGATGATATTTCAAATATGTGTCTAATTATAGAGCAAAGACCTTTCACAAGATGCAGCTTAAGTCCACGACTTATAAATCATCAGCGGATTCTTTCCAAAACCTACTGAGCTGCCATAAAATCAACCTCTCGTTCACGATGAAGGACTTCTTCCCTGCACAGAATACACAGAGCAACTAAACAAGAGTTCATCTAGACCTGCAGTTACAACACAACACATGATTAAACAGAAACAACTGCTTACCTCAGTTCATCACCACCCATCTTCACATTTATCTCCACTTTATTCATAATTCATGTAGTCCAGGAGGTTATTTGTTCGGGCCTACAGCAATTGTTCGGGTTTACCTTTATCCACATATTTCTTATTATACAAATATATTAACAACTGTTTTTACTGATTATATTCAAAAGGAATGAAAATATATTTAAAATCAACATAAACTTTGCTTCAACTTTCTCATTCATCCTGGATCACAGTGCATTCTGGGATCGCCTTAAATATAAAGGATACACAAATTTTCAGTTTTATATAAAAAATATGGTAAAAAAAAAAAAAAAAAAATATATATATATATATATATATATATATATATATATTCTAATGAACTGAAATAAAATATTGATATAATAAAATGTTTTAGAATGTAAAATATTTATTTTTAAAAATAGTTTAATATTGTAATATAAATCATTGAAAGATCTGAAAAATAAAAATATTTAACATGAGTGTAAAAAGTCTCAAACCTCACATACATTTTAAGTGATTTAAATGTGGGTTTAAACTGTCCAATTCAATAAAAAATGATTGAGAAGTAACTACACAAGATGTAATTGTGATTTTTAATGACCCATATAATAGAATAGAATATAATATTATATGAATAATAATTAATAAAATAATATTTTTAATACAGAAAATGAATATTGTGTGTATGTTTGTTCAATGATTTGCTGTCTGTCTGTCTGTCTGTCTGTCTGTCAGAGTTCATGAGACTGATGTTCCAGCTACATTAGGAAAGCAGGACAGAGCTGCAGTAATTCACTCCAGAAGTCTGGAAAGCAGTGAAGAGGTTAGAAAGAAGACAAAGAGAGGCTCTGAACAATGTTACGTGCTCAGATGGATGATGGATGTCTCTGTCTCTGTCTCTTAGTGATTGGTCAGATGAAGGGGTGTGAATGTCTGACCTACTGTACACGCTTAAAAATAAAGCTTATTGGCATCTGAAGAATATTATTAGCCATGGAATCTTTACATTCCACAAAAGTGGAAAAAAGTTCTTTAAAGTGGAAAAAAGTTTCTTTAAATCATTCAAATGTTCTAAAACTCTGAACTGAAAGGTTCTTAGGGAATCACATGCAAAAACAAAAACAAAACCTTTAAATGAAATTAAAAGGTCACAGAGTTTACATAAACGTAAGTGATTTAAATATGGGTTTAACCAGTCAGTGTTGCAGCATATGAAAGAAAATCATTGCAACAGAATCTGAAGAACATTGCTGGGTTTTGAGAGATTTCACCAGTCTTGACTTTCGTTGTCAGTTCATTGTACTTTACACAACGGTCAGTTCTATTAAGACGCGATCTCTGCTGTCTCTGCTCCTCGTAACCCTTACACACAGTAAACGTCTCATCTGCATGTCAAGGTTAAACTGTGCCTGTCTCAGTCAGAAATAAAGATCTGACGTCAGACACGAATCTCACTCTGAACAACAGCATGCAGAACATACAGCCTCACATTCCACTGCAGCTCATGATCCTGTCAACACTTCAACCTGGCTTATCATCACTGACTAAAACTAGAAATATATATATATTTAAAACTTGTTCATTGAAATTAAGCTAAAATGAAATATAAATATTAGATGAAAAGCTTAAACTAAACAAAATTAGAAGTGTCGAATAACAGAGGTTGAAGAAATAAAACTACTAAATGGAAAATTTCATTCAGTCTTGTTTTTTTTTTTTTTTTTGGTTATGTACTTTTATAGCTTTCATAATTTAAATGAGCTTCTCTATTTATATTCTTATTACTTATTATATTTTTATTTTTATAATTGTAGTGTAGTTATTTTTATATACTGTTTTATCTTTTTCATTTCTTGTATACTAAATGCTATTAAATAAAGTTTAAAATAATACTAAAATAAGTATGAAAGCAACAACAGTATTGTACATACACACACACACATCATTTTACATACATTAGTGATTTGATCAAATTATCAGCTTTTGCACACTTGAGGTAAACTGTGGTCGTGTCTCAATCCATAGAGACTCAGAAATCTGGACAGTAATATACGTGGAGCACTGCTTAGCATCGAGCGCCATCTAGTGGAAAATAAATAAATAAAGTATATGAAAGGGGTCATATGAAGCTATTTCAAGTTTTGCTTTCTCTTTGGAGTGTTACAAGCTGATTGTGCATAGATAAGATCCCTGAAGCTGCAAAGACTAAAGTCTCAAAACCAAAGAGATATTCTTTATCAAAGTTAAGACTCTGCCACGCCCCCCTAAAACGGCTCGTTCTAACACGCCCCCACATATCTACCTCACTATGTGGAAATATTAGCATAATGCCGCCAACATAACACTAAGCCAAACACCAAAAAACAACTACATATGTGTATGTACAGCCACACACATATACATGTACATATATATAAATACATTCAATATATATATATATTTCATTTCCATTTTGTATGTTGAAGTACTGAAATAACTCAAATTAAAGCCTATATAGACATAATAAAAAAACTCATAAAATGACAACATTGCTACAACTGTAACTAAAATAGATAACTAATACAAATCAAACTACATTAGTTTATCAGTAATCCTAAAAAAAATAACACTGAGCCAAACACACATGCTAAAATAACAACAACTTACTGACACATAGTAAGAAATGGTTATAAAAAACTGAAACAGAAGTGAAACAAGTAGTAGGAAAGAGGAGAAATAAAAAGCGATATAGTAACTGTTAGTCAAAAGTCAGTTATTATCACTAATTAATAAAGAGCAGACATTTGTCTTGATCCTTTTTTTAACTTATTTGTGTCCATCTCTATGCTTTAGTTTATTTAACAGGATATAATTCATATTTCGCTTGTTTTGTAAAGCACTTTGAGTTGCATGAAATAATTGCACATTTAATCTTACCTTATATCAATTTTCTTATATTTACAGTCTTGCAAAATCATTGCCTTCAATCTGACAGTAGAAACTGAATATGATTGAATTGCAGGTAAAATGAAATTGTGGTACATTGTAAAATCGTGTTACACAAAGTTTTGCATTTACTGTAAAACTAGTCGGATTGTTTAATCTGGTAAGATGCTCATTCCTGGCCTCGGTTACTATGGTTACTCTAGTGTATCTGGGTTAATATGGATGCAGATATTGGAAATGAGTGTCAGTGGATTTGAACTGCTGTGCATTATGAGCGTCATCTGTGTGATTCAGGTGCTGATCTGCCGTAATTACCGCGGTGATGTGGACATGTCCGAGATCGAGCATTTCATGACCCTGCTGATGGATAAAGAGGAGGAGGGAACACTGTCGCCCATCCTGGCTCACGGGGGAGTTCGCTTCATGTGGATCAAGCACAACAACCTGTACCGTATCTTCCAAACCTCTAGAACTAAAAATCCAATTCATTTTCTATACGGAGAAATGATCTGCCGTAATTACCGCGGTGATGTGGACATGTCCGAGATCGAGCATTTCATGACCCTGCTGATGGATAAAGAGGAGGAGGGAACGCTGTCGCCCATCCTGGCTCACGGGGGAGTTCGCTTCATGTGGATCAAGCACAACAACCTGTACCGTATCTTCCAAACCTCTAGAACTAAAAATCCAATTCATTTTCTATACGGAGAAATCTAGATTTTTCAAGACAGACCTACTGTGGGCTCTGAGGTTAAACGGTGACCAGGGTTATTACTTGACTAAAACTATTTTCGTTAATTTAAATAAAATAAACATTAACTGAAATATAATCAAACTCACAATTAAAACTGAAATAAAATTTATTTTAAAAAACTATTTACGATAGTTTTATTTTATTCCATTGTATATGATGTGATTATATGATTTGCATTGATTCACAGGATTCCCAGTTCATTTGATCCCTAAAAAGTCTTTTTTTTTTCTTCTTTTTCTTTTTTTACTGCTTTTAAAGGGGTGATTGACTATTGACTGTTTTTTTTCTAGGCTTGATTGTGTTTATGGGGTGCAGTCTAATAGGGCTGCAACAAATGATTATTTAGATAATCGATTATTAGAACGATTAATTGACTAATCATCGATTATTCCACTGATTAATCAGTAGACTTTGATTATTCAGCTTTTGCAATTACCGTATTGGCCCGAATATAAGACGACCCTGATTATAAGACGACCCCCCTTTTTCCAGATGTACCTTTTGGAAAAAGGCATTTTAAAACAAATCTTGTTTTTTCTCAGTAAAACACATTTTGTCTTCAATTCTTTTCATATTGCATATTTTTCCTATTTTAATTTTAGTTTTGAAAGTATGGTAAAACTGGTAAAATGTACCAACAATCACATAAAAAAAAAATACACTTTTTGATATACCATTAACAAAAACAAACAGGTAGCCCATCTGAATTAGGACATTTAGGCTATCCATCTAATAGTAGCCTACCAAAATCTTATTAACAGTAGAAGTTAAATCTTACTGTAGTCTTCCAATCTGGGTACTGTCTTACGTTTTAAAATCACAAAGGGAGTTTGGTCCCATCAGGCTAACCACGACTCATGCAGCTGTAAGGTTTTCTTTTGTTTTTACTCACGATCTTTACAACACGCATTTCATTACGTATTTCATGGCACACTCGTTTTATGCGTATTTGGCGCCACATATTGTTGTGGGTGTATTATTGACATGTCAAAGTCTAGACCCTGAATATAAGACGACCGCGTTTTTTCAGATGTAGATGTATTTCCAACAAAAAAACATCGTCTTATATTCGGGTCAATACAGTAGTTAAAATATTGACTTAATGCATATTCTAACAAATAAAGGTAATCATTTCAGCTTTTGAAAATCATATTATGTCATTCCAATTATTATACAATTAATTGATACAAATAAATGTATTTGGCACACAGAATGAGATGACAGACAGAGAAACCCTCTCATTCACCATTTATTTAGCTATATGAAAAAGAAACTGAATGACATCATTCTGCCTGACATCTCCTTTTAAGATATATAAGAAGAATAAGAAACAAAATAAAGGTAAGTGATGAGACGTTTTATTTTTGGTTAAACTATTTTATTCACAACACAATCTCTCTTAAAATACCTTATAGGGTTATGATAATCAAAACAGTCCTGAGCTAGATCAAGCTTTGATCTCTACAAACCAAACTATCACTTAAATAAAATTATATATTTTTTCCCCACTAATAAAACGATTTTATCATAAGCTAGCTACACACTGGAGAGCTGCTTTATAACAGAAACTCGAGTTGTAATTCTAAATGAAAGCGACACTGACTCTGGTTTTTCATGTTAATACAGTAAAGCTGCCTGATTTAAAGTGCCCCTATTATGCCTTTTCGAATATTACCTTTCATGCAGTGTGTCATGTAGCTGTATGTGAACATAAACTATCTGCAAAGTTGTGAAGCCGACAGTGCACGATAAATAAAGTTATTGTCTATCAAAAAAAAGAGTCTGCTCGCAATCTCCTAAACGAGTTGTCAGGAATTCGAATCTTAAGCCCCGTTCACACTACAAGCGACACGCAACAGCAAAGCGACACAATCCCATTCATTTAAATGGAGAGCTGGCGATTTCCGGCGACACGAGCGACTGCGACCGGATGGGGCGTGTCCAGCAACGCGACAATTTCAGAATCCTTTAACTTTATGCAAATGAAGAGCGACTTTCGGGAGCGACAGCCAATAGGAAAGACGACGGTAGAGCACATGTGATCGTTCTCCTCTCAGCGCCATAGATAAACATACGCAATGGAAGAAAGTAAGCTCTGTTTCTCATTCATTTTTGTTTGTATGTACGGATTTAATTGAATTTAGATTATATTTAGTCTTTTGCCTCCAAAATGTTTGTACTTGGCAGCAAGAAACCTGATTTGCTGTCAAGGCAACCAGTATTGAGAACGCCCACTAGCAACCTCATCGCCAGCCCCTGGCGACATGCAGCGACTGCTAGTGTGAACGGGGCTTTATTCTGTTACGACTCTAGGTCACGAAGTAAAACATTTACATAATATCTGCCAACGTTCTACGTCGCCAACTTGCCACAAGCACAGAAAAATTTCCGTGTGGTTAACATCATGTCGAGAAGACGCTGTATCCTACGCTGTGAGAGTAAATTTGTTTTATCACATCTTATAATTACCACAAACTTGTTAACACTTGACACTTACCACTGGGAAACGTCCTGCTCCAGTCGTGCTTGCGAATCAGTCTCTTGTCAATCAGCCAGTTCAACCGTTTCATCATCAGACTCCGGCTAGAATTGGTAAGGTACAATCGATACCATCTTTTCTATGTATTGACAAGTCTCCAGGGCTGTCATTCCATCTTTCGTTTCCGACACGCACTGTACACGATAGACCAATCCAGAGCCAATCTCTCTACAGCTCTGAACCAATCACAAAGTACTGCGCCATCTGACCAATCACAGCAGTGAGGGCTCACAGCGCCATAGATAAACATACGCAATGGAAGAAAGTAAGCTCTGTTTCTCATTCATTTTTGTTTGTATGTACGGATTTAATTGAATTTAGATTATATTTAGTCTTTTGCCTCCAAAATGTTTGTACTTGGCAGCAAGAAACCTGATTTGCTGTCAAGGCAACCAGTATTGAGAACGCCCACTAGCAACCTCATCGCCAGCCCCTGGCGACATGCAGCGACTGCTAGTGTGAACGGGGCTTTATTCTGTTACGACTCTAGGTCACGAAGTAAAACATTTACATAATATCTGCCAACGTTCTACGTCGCCAACTTGCCACAAGCACAGAAAAATTTCCGTGTGGTTAACATCATGTCGAGAAGACGCTGTATCCTACGCTGTGAGAGTAAATTTGTTTTATCACATCTTATAATTACCACAAACTTGTTAACACTTGACACTTACCACTGGGAAACGTCCTGCTCCAGTCGTGCTTGCGAATCAGTCTCTTGTCAATCAGCCAGTTCAACCGTTTCATCATCAGACTCCGGCTCGAATTGGTAAGGTACAATCGATACCATCTTTTCTATGTATTGACAAGTCTCCAGGGCTGTCATTCCATCTTTCGTTTCCGACACGCACTGTACACGATAGACCAATCCAGAGCCAATCTCTCTACAGCTCTGAACCAATCACAAAGTACTGCGCCATCTGACCAATCACAGCAGTGAGGGCTCACGGAAAGGAGGGGTTTAGAGAGACTTCGCATGAGTCGTTTACGAATCATTTAGAAATGAGGTAAAATTAACACTAACGTGTTTTTTGACCTTGCATGCATGTAAACCTGTTTTAGGAAACTCCTAAAACAATATTAGCAACCTTAAAAATGGCATAATAGGGGAACTTTATCTATCGCATAAAGTGAACTTCAGTTACGTCAGCGTTTGCTCTGAAGCGATGTGTCGTCTTCTCTTGAATTGTATCCAGGAAGGCTGAATTAGGCTTGCGCTACAGCGCCACACTGGTCAAACCGCGTTATTGCAGGATCTTACATTAGGTCAAATGAGATCAAACGACTACTCGACAACAAAAATATTTGTAGACTATTTTTTTTATTGTCGATGTTGTCGATAATGTCGACTAATCGTTTCAGCCCTACAGTCTAACATGTGTTAATGCTTCGTTTTTTTTAAAAATTCATTATTTTTCACATAATTTACCTTTTTACATTTACCTTTATTCCACACCGCTCTGTCTATAAACGCGCTGATGATTTTCTGCTTTTATGAAGCCCCTCCTTCAGAAATACGCAATGGACTCAGACTGGTTAGCTAGTCCAGTGTGTTGTGATTGGCTTAACCGCCTGTAGTGGTCTAAACGTCCTGCCCCTCACCTCGGCGGGATGTGCTCCGGTTGTATTGTAAATAATGGCGTCGTCTATATTGCTTATCAGTTTGAGCATGAGTCGTTTACGAATCATTTAGAAATGAGGTAAAATTAACACTAACGTGTTTTTTGACCTTGCATGCATGTAAACCTGTTTTAGGAAACTCCTAAAACAATATTAGCAACCTTAAAAATGGCATAATAGGGGAACTTTATCTATCGCATAAAGTGAACTTCAGTTACGTCAGCGTTTGCTCTGAAGCGATGTGTCGTCTTCTCTTGAATTGTATCCAGGAAGGCTGAATTAGGCTTGCGCTACAGCGCCACACTGGTCAAACCGCGTTATTGCAGGATCTTACATTAGGTCAAATGAGATCAAACGACTACTCGACAACAAAAATATTTGTAGACTATTTTTTTTATTGTCGATGTTGTCGATAATGTCGACTAATCGTTTCAGCCCTACAGTCTAACATGTGTTAATGCTTCGTTTTTTTAAAAAATTCATTATTTTTCACATAATTTACCTTTTTACATTTACCTTTATTCCACACCGCTCTGTCCCTTCTTCTATAAACGCGCTGATGATTTTCTGCTTTTATGAAGCCCCTCCTTCAGAAATACGCAATGGACTCAGACTGGTTAGCTAGTCCAGTGTGTTGTGATTGGCTTAACCGCCTGTAGTGGTCTAAACGTCCTGCCCCTCACCTCGGCGGGATGTGCTCCGGTTGTATTGTAAATAATGGCGTCGTCTATATTGCTTATCAGTTTGAGCTCGATTGAGAAGCAGAGGATATTATTGAAGAGGATCGTGCAGAACTTGGCATGGCATGTTTTTTGTTTGTTGTTGTCTCATACTTTTAGATACGCTGTTATTTGTAAATGCTACTGCTTCTGTTAGCTTTTAATATACGGTTTTATCCTGATTAAAGCTTTAATACAGTACGGCAACCGCATGCACGTCCATGTTTAACGCTTCTCATAGCTATGTGAGAATAAGTGTATAATTGGAACAGTTCATTGTTGGAGCTGAATGAGAGAGAGAGAGAGAGAGAGATGCAGCGTGTGTGCAGAACAGTATTAAGAACCGCTGCTTTAGAGTATTGATTTTAAAACTTGTGAATCCATTAGAATCGTTAGAAGACTCGAGATTGATATATGAATAGATTTTTACGTGCACCCCTAGTTTTCTCTTCCTCTTCTCTAAAGCAGCGCAGCATGGCCCCGCCCCCTTTGCTACTTGTTCCAGAGGGCGGGGTTTGTCTGGGTTTGTGATGTCACAAACCCGGGAAGTAACTCATTGTAGTCCCTACCAGCCGTTTTTGTAGGCATTAAACCGCCAGAATTTTAAAAGACTATCATCTCCGTTTGCATTGAAGTTTCAGCTTCGTAACTTTGCAGATATTGTTTGTTCAAACAGCAACATTACACACTAACTAACGTTAAAAAAGTGAAATCGCAATCAACCACCCCTTAATTTTGTATTTATTTTATTTTATTTCATTTTATTTGTTTTTTTATTTTTGTGCTTCATTTCAAATTGCTTTAATGTTGCGATTGACCTTTAAGCTGGTTATTTTTAAACATTTTCTAATATCTCTATGAAGAAAATATTCCAAAAAAATAAATAAAAGATTGTAAAAAGTTTTTTTTTAAATATATATATATATATATATATATATATATATATATATATATACTTTTTTTGTTTTTCTATTGAATTATACTTACAGTTCATGGATATCCGCTTTTAAAAAGATAAATTCAATAAATGTATGTTGTTTCCAAAGTTGATGAATATCTCAATATAGACCAAAATAATCATGATGTTGTTGTTTTTTTTGCCATAATCAAGCAGCTCTATTAATTAATTAATTATTTAATTAGATTTTAATTATGAAACTGAGCTGACTTGAACAACATTATAAAATTACAAAGTCATAAAAATGACACTAACTAAATTACTTTATTATTATATAATTAGTATTAATGATTTTAATTGGTATTTGTATTAGTAATTAGCATTACGTTTTTTTATTAAAAGTAAAATTATTTAAAAATAAATGAATTTAAAAAAAATCAGATATCGCTATACAAATATATAAATTGGAAATATACATTCAGGACAATGGCTGCTGAATAAATGGCTGATCACTATTGCATTTTATTAGATTTTATTCATTCAAGATCTTACTTAGGATCATTTTACAACATGTTTGTTGTAACCTGTTAATAATTTTATTGGTTTACTGTCTCTTTTAAGCTTGTTTTGTCTCTTAACCTGCTGACAAACAGTTGTTGCAACATCCAAGAAGAATGCTTGCGTGTCCCTGGTTTTCTCCTTTCTCTACAAAATTGTTCAGGTACATTATACATCAATTGTGGACTTAAAGGGATTTCTGGGTGAGGGATCTCATCTTATTGGATCATAACTAATAAGTTAACATAACAGTTTATCACTGCATACATTTCAGTATCACTTGCTTTAGTCTAACAGGTATTTGATGTGCTTTTTCCAGGTTTTCTCAGAATACTTTAAGGAGCTGGAGGAGGAGAGTATCAGAGATAACTTCGTCATAATCTACGAGCTGCTGGATGAACTCATGGACTTTGGATACCCGCAAACCACTGACAGCAAGATCCTCCAGGAGTGAGTCTGTGTTTGATTTCCTTTTACGAACCATTTTTAACAGTTCGGTTCACTCGCCCTCAAACCGTATGACTGACATTGATTCATATAAAAGTCTTTAAATCATTACATTGTTTCGTTTCAAACATGGCAATACTAAAATAATTGCAGGCCTTTCTCTGACCCAGCAGATGTCATTCAGGAGTAACTGATGGAAAGTGTTTATTTTTCACAGATACATCACGCAGGAAGGTCACAAGCTGGACACGGGTGCTCCGCGGCCCCCTGCCACGGTCACCAACGCCGTCTCCTGGAGGTCAGAGGGCATCAAGTACAGGAAGAACGAGGTTTTCCTGGACGTCATCGAGTCTGTCAACCTCCTGGTATGTTTTTAGAAGCAGCACGTTTCTTAGATGTCTGTAGACGTGCTCAGAATAAACACAGGAATACATCATAACAAACAGGACACAGTCACATCCATGTCATTGTGCTTGTGTTGTGTGAGGAGACGAACCTGCTGTTCTTATGAAAGCTTTAACACTTGACTGAAATAGCATGTTTGAAACAGTCCATGTTAACTAATAGGGCTGGGCAAGCAATCAAATGACATTATATTTTGGCTTCTAATGATTGTAAAAACAAGATAATTGCATGTAGTTTTACAATAACTTGTTCTTTGTGTTGTGTTTTGTGTTATATACTGAATAAATGTTTAGTAGTTGTCAGCAGGTTGTGGAAGTGCACTAAAATATACTTGATCTTATTTATTTTGATTACATTTATGTATGATGATTTAAAAATGTTTTGTTCATATGTATATATAATTTATATATAATAAAATTAATTTGATCAAAATAGTTTTAGTTAATGAGGTTACCATGGAATTTACTTAATTTGAGTTAATTTGATAAGTATATAAAACATGAATGAGTTTTGGGATGGTTGTTGGTGAATTATAATTAATATACCTAAGTTGAAGGATATTACTTTTAAAATTCAATAAATGCATGATGTTTCCAAAAGTCAACGAGTATCTCAATATTGACCAAAAATAATTGCGATTATGAGCTCGATTAACTAATTATTCAGTTTGTTAATTGTGAAACAGATAGTTCCGTTTTAAAAATTGGACTGGATGAGACGCATTATAAAGTTCGAAAAATATTATAAAAATAATCACACTAATGAACTATATTTATTTGTTATTATAATTAGTATTTTTAATTATTAAGTTAATAAAATAATCATTTATTTATTTTCTACTGTACTAAATTCTGTTTTATGTATTTATATTGATTGATTGAGTATTTGTCTGTGTGTAATTGTAACTTGTGTTTGTGTTTGACATGACGGCTTCATGGCTGCTGTTTTCTCTGCAGGTCAGCGCGAACGGTAACGTCCTTCGCAGTGAGATCGTTGGCTCCATTAAGATGAGAGTGTTCCTCTCAGGAATGCCAGAGCTGCGTTTGGGTCTGAATGACAAGGTTCTGTTTGAGAACACCGGCCGTGAGTCTATTTCCTCAATTGTCTGTCTCCATATGGATGCTAAAAGACCCCTGTGACATCAGATCTGGAGTTTTATGGCTTTTATTTCATGTGTGCTTGCTTTGAGCTCATCTGGATGTGTGTTTTAGTCATTTGTTGAATCATATCTCTCTTCTTCAGGTGGTAAGAGTAAGTCAGTGGAGCTGGAGGATGTGAAGTTTCATCAGTGTGTGCGTCTGTCTCGATTTGAGAACGATCGAACAATCTCCTTCATCCCGCCGGACGGAGAGTTTGAGCTGATGTCCTACCGCCTCAACACACACGTGAGTGTCTAAACTCATTCATACTTCTATTTAAAAATAACAAATATAAATATACCCTTATACTTAATTATAATATAAATATAAATGATAATATAATGTGTACAAATATAATATAATATAGAAATACAAAGTGAAATGTAAATATAATACTGAAATAAAATAAACGTATGTAATATTTACGTAAGATTAAAAAACTTCAGTAAATTAATAAATTTAAAAAAAAGAAATAATAAATAAATGAAAAGGAAATAATAAATTACAACTAAAGTTGTAAATTAAACCTAAATAATAATATTGTAAATTAATAATGGTTATTTATTTTAAAATAAATATCAAATTTAAAGATTAAAATTAAAAAAATTATAGAATTTATATATTTTTATTAAAATAATTGTAAGTAAAATAATCATAATCATATATAAAAAAAACTAATAAAAAAGCTAAAACTACATAAAATTATTAAAATCAATAAACAAAAAATATAAACAAAATCTGAAAATAAATATTACATTATAAAATGTTAATTCAAAAGATTAATAACTATAATAGTATAAAAGTAATGCTGTAATAACACTGTTCAGTTTATACTCGGCGTTTGATTGTGTTGTTTGGTTTTCTGTGTGAACAGGTGAAGCCTCTGATCTGGATCGAGTCTGTGATTGAGAAGCATTCACACAGCAGAATCGAGTACATGATCAAAGTGAGAACACCTGCATCCGTGTGAACTTCAGAGTGATTTTATGGTGTGTTTGTGCACAGAGCACCTAAATAATGTCTCGTCTGTTTTACCGTAGGCCAAGTCTCAGTTTAAGCGACGCTCCACCGCCAACAATGTGGAGATTCATATTCCAGTCCCGACCGACGCAGACACGCCCAAGTTTAAGACCACGGTGGGCAGCGTGAAGTGGGTGCCGGAGAACAGCGAGATTGTTTGGTCCATCAAATCTTTCCCTGTGAGAAACAAGCACAGTGCTGTTGTGATACTGTACATTCATAATAATAAATCTATTAGCCTAAAGAGTGATATTAGCAGAAGCTTATGAGTGTGTGTGTGTGTGTTTCAGGGAGGTAAGGAGTACCTGATGAGGGCTCATTTCGGGCTGCCCAGCGTTGAGGCAGAGGACAAGGAGGGAAAACCACCAATCAGTGTGAAGTTTGAGATTCCCTATTTCACCACCTCTGGAATACAGGTAACTAAGTGTTACATTCACACTTTTATTACAAAGTATTACTTTATGGCTTGCAATCCTATTTTTTTTATTTGAGAGTGATTTAGACTTTAGAATATCGTAATTGTTGTTTTAACAATGTGCGATTTGACATTATCGAGTATTTAGCAAAAAACATTCAAAACATCCCTATAGAGCACACGCGTACATTACGTGAAGTCTAGACTAGTGCGTGTGCGCATTTAGTGTGTTTTCTTTCACTGCATGATTCAGGCTATTAAAATGCATTTAGAATGATCACAAATTCAAGACATGATGGCAGAAAATGTATATATTTATACCACTTCATATAGTTATTAAATTTCACACGAAGAGTGCCGTTTTTCTCCAGAAAATACCCTGATTACAAATGTGACATTGAATTCAATAAACAATAAGTTAATTAAGAGACTTACGTTTTAGACACCATATTGCTTGTTTTTGCTCTATTTCGCCAACAAAAATCATCTCGAATACAGCCCCAGCGCTGTTTTGTGTCTCTGAGCAACATGACGGTGTTTCGTTCTTGAATGAATCAACCGTTTAAATGATTCGGTTCAATCACAATGGTTTTAATTTCGGCGCTTTTTAAAAATAATTTCAAATATCAGTATTCAACATTTTATGTTTAATATATCAAAACATTATTTATGCATTTGTAATTGCAGGTTAAATGCATTCATGTCTTGCATTAAACAAAATACACGTGTGTAAATGCATCTAAATGCCACTTCAGATGCAGCTTCTGTGTTGATTTCATTTGCTTGGTAACAGCCCAAATGTCTTATTATTCTAATTCCCTGATTAAATGTACGAATTTGACTCAAAAGATAATGGACACTTTTAGAAAAAATGGCTTTATAAAGGTAAAAATGCCCATAAAGTGCAAAAATCAGTTTAAACTTATTGGAAAAGATTCATTTCTATCAGTATGAACTGACCACCACACAGAATATGAAGAATATTAAAAACATTAGGAGTCAGCTGTCTTCGGCAGTCCTTAAGATACCAGCACAATAACACACTCAGCAAAATATCGTCTAATTATAGTTATCGATAAAATATCGAGGTATCATTTTTTTGTCAATATCGCACACCCCTAATTTAGAAATGTGATAGCGTAGACCACTGTGTTTTCTTAGTATTATGTATCTACTATTAAAGTTTTTATTCATATTTTGAATCAGCTTTTATTTTTATATTTTCAGTTTAGTTTTAATTTATCTACATTTTAGTAATTTGATGTGCTGTTGTAATTTTTATTCTTTTTTTAATATTACCATTTAGGTAATATTTTCCCCCTAAATTTAAGTTTGAGTTTTAGTTAGGGCTGCACGATTAATCGAATGCGATTGTCATGCGCATTTTGATAGTAATGCCGGTTCTGTAATCAGCAGGAAATCATCATCACGTGCTTTCAGATGGAGCAGCATTTACTACACGGAGCCATAGTTCACTGACAAGTTATGAAAAATGAAAAATTGCAGACGATTTTATTGTGCGATTCTGAAATCGTTTGCGATAATGACAGCTGTTTGCATAGCTTCTCAGTGAACTACGGCTCTGGGAAGTAAATGCTGCTCCATCTGAAACCATGTGAAAATACCACATTTAATAACATATTTTTACTCCAAACTCACTTCATAAAGTTAAATATTAGATTAAAATTTTAAATGAGAAATGGTGTATTGGCAGCCAAGTGAAGTAAAATACAATTAAAATTGAATAAAAATGAATTAAAGCTAAATATAAATATTTACAAAAACGTAATAAAATATTAGAAACTATTATTAAAATGAAAATTGAAAAAATAAAAATAAAGAATATATTAAAGAATATAATAGCATATTAATAATACTAAAATAACTTAAGTTCTATTGGTTGATGAAAGCAGAGTGTTCAATAAACCTGCTGAAGTTCTACTTTAAAAGTCATAAAATCCAAAACTCTTCACTCAAAAATAATAATTCTGTCATTTACTCACTTTCATATCATTCCAAACCTGTATGATTTCATTCTTCAGCAATCACAAAAGAAGATATTTTGAAAAAAAAAATTGTCCGTACAGTGAAAATCAGTGGAGTCCATTATTGTTCTTATTTCATTGTAAGGACACTTTCTTCAAAATATCTTATTTTGTGTTCCACAGAAAAATAACATGGGAGTGAATAAAGGATGACAGACTCCCTTTAAGTTCTCATAAACATGAAAAACATTTTGTAGAATATTTATCATGTGTCTCGGGTTTTAATCTTGTTGCATTAGAAACAGTTAAAGTTGCATGCAGTGTGTGTGTGTGTGTGTGTGTGTTGTGGCCGTGACAGTGGCCCGATCCAGACGCTGGCGGCCAGTCAAAGCCAGGACAGACAGAACAGAACCGCAGCTCCTGCTGCTGCTGCTGATTCTTGTGATTTAGCAGACGGTGTGTTTATTTGTTATGGTCAGTCGAGTGTGTGTTTGTGTGTGTGTGTTTCTCAGGCCTCAGCAGTTTATAAAGGTGGGCAGAGCAGAAATGAACTGGACAGGACTGCAGTCGAGCTGTGGGACGTGTTTGTGGAAACTTTCAACAGAACAACTGCTGTTTGTTGATCTGGGAATGATTCTCGCGCAGATGTTGTGCACTGCAGCTTTGGATCGAGCTGTCAGTGGATTCATGTTTTTTGTGTTAACATGAATAGGCTATTTTAAATGTTCAGAAATGTATTTGCTTCATGCAGAGTTCATTCAATTTGAATGCATTCAGTTTCTGTTTTACAGAAAGCAATGAGAATAATCATATGAGTCCTGTTAGCCTCTGTGATCTTTTCTATTCTAAAGATGACTCGAGTCCCTCCTTCAGGTTGTGTTTTCATCTGTTTAATCATCCAGCAGGTATGGCTGCATGACTAATCGAAATAAAACCAAAATTGCAATACGGCTTATTACCCTTAGCAAATCACAAAGGCTGTGATTTAATTTAATAAATATATGCGCTGTGTGTTTCAGAGTGAAGCACAGCATCTTGTGTTTATGTTCATGCAAACAGCTCATGTTTTCATCACAGTAAATGCTTCTCCGCTTGAACTTTTTTTTAGCATCTGTATTCATTTGTGTTGCTTATAATGTGCAATGGAAAACGCACCATGCACCAAAAATCTTTCCAAACTTGTAATGAGAAGCACTTATAAATAAAAGAGCAGCTTTAAGGTCCCGATATGATTAAAAATAAAAGTTTTATGCGTTAATGGGAAGCCATAAATATTAGTCTTGCGATTTTACAGTAACGTAATAAAAATAAAATTATTGCTGTTATATTTTCTTAATACAATTCTTAACATTTTCAGTTTTATATCACAAGAGTAATTTTTATTTAATAATGATAAGAATAATAATATTATTATCATTTTTAGTGCTACAATATGTATTATAATATTATATTTTAGTCATTTTTATGTTTTTATTTAGTAATGGTAACAAATAATAATAGTAATAATTATTATTTGTGCAACAATGTGTATTATAATGTATTTTAGTTTGTCATTTTTTTATTTAGTTATAAAACAAGAGATTATTATTAGTGCAGCACTGTGTATTATTTTTAGTGCTGTCAAACAATTAAGCGCATCCAAAATAAAAGTTTTTGTTTACATAATATATTCCTGTATACTGTGTATATTATGTATATATAAATACAAACATGTATATATTTAAGAAAAAATATGTTTATATTTTAAATATATTTATATATAATATAAAATATAATAATATAAATATATATACATGTAAATATTTTCAAAATATATACTGAATGTGTGTGTGTATTTATATATGCATAATAAATAAACACAGTACAAATAAATATATTATGTAAACAAAAACTTTTATTTTGGATACGATTAATCGTTTGACAGCACTAAATATTTTCTATTATTATTTTATAGCAATATTGTTATATAGACAAAAAAATGGCAAATTGTGCAACCATACAAACAAACAAGCAAAGCAAACCTTTTTCACATTTTAGTTTCTATTAGAAAAATCACAATTTGTTTTCCCCAAAACATGCAGCCCTACCAGCAGGTGAGAACAGTGCATCTGATCGCTGAAGTTCCTGCACACCTTTCGTTTACAAGACATATGCACTGAGAAATCACTCATGTCTTATAGGTTAGAGGTTACTCTTGGAGAATGAACTTTGCACTTTTTCTTTGCAGACGCTTCATCATCTCTTATATAATGGTATTAGGCGTGTGTGGTTTTTGTGTGGCTCTTACGGGTCAGTGATGAGCGCTGACTGACGGCCATTGAGTGAACTAGAAGGCAGGTGTCGTTCTGAGAGCATGTGAAGTGATGCTGTCTTTTTAGTTGACTTGAAAGGAGGAATTCCTCCTCCAGTTCCCACAGATGAAAGAGGTTTTCACCAGAGACACTGCCAATGTTAAAACAAACAAAACGAACAGCCTTGTTTGTACTCTTAGATCAGAGAAAGTTATGTACCCGGTTAAAAACATTGATAATAATTTAGGTAAAAGTTTGGTAAAATGATTAAAAGCATTTACAATGGAAGCCTGTACTGCAAAGTTATAAAGCTAAAAAACATTATTAATGCTTATGATCTGCGTGAGGATTTATTCATTTAATATGTTGTCTAATAGCTCTTTTTTTTTTACAGTGTCACATTTATATTTATGCATTTAGCAGACGCTTTAATTCAGTCGAGGAGCATAAGAAGCCAGTCATTTCATGTTGACATAGTTTGACATTCAGCTGTTTTTGTCTGTAACCCACAAACCAGATGAACAATCGACAATAAAATCAATCAGGCAAATTATAGAGAGGTTGAAGGTGAAACAGCAGTTTTCGAGCTGAACTCGGGACGACCTTGGGTACGATATTCATAAACCGCTTCTCCAATAAAATTACCTCTAATTTTATGTTTTAAACAAAAGATTTCCTCCATATGATGGTAAGTTTCATCAACCCACGCGGATATCAACGACATA